AAAGATTGATATAAATGAACAAGAATGACACTGTTTGGCACCAGATCAATTTCTATTCTGTGGTTACACTGAAAATAATGTTTAACATGATGTTTTTTTATAAAACATCCTAAAAAGTTACAAAATAAACTTGTAGAAGTTATCCTTAGCAGCAATTCTGTGTAAATAAGTGTATGTGTATGCACAAATATATACACACATACTCCACATACTGTAAGCTGGTTTTATTGAATAGAGGTTGATTCTACTAAATTAATTCTCCTCTTCCCCTCTTTTCAGATTAGAACTTTTATCTCCATTTCTCCCACCTTAGACTAATAAGGATACAGACCTAGAAAGTTACACATGAACTCATTACTACCTTTGACAAGAATGTCATAAACTGACAGTCTACATATAAATAAAAGAACACCATGATAAAACACACAGAATCACTTTTAGTTAAATAAGTACAAGAAAGGGATTTTATGAACCTCAAACCACACTTTACATGAGGCGAGAAGTCTTAGGGTCATAGCTTTTCTTGAGGGTGTCAGTCTGGCCAGAGAAGCAGTCTAGATTTTTCTCAGACTACCTTAAAGACAGGGAGACACAGGAAAAGTAACGATAGGATAAGGGAGGCAAACTGAAAATATTTTGGGGTGAATCACAACTGCCTAAGGTTTAAACACAAAATACCAATTTTCCAGTAAATCCGATAAGCAAATTTGAAGAGAAGATGAAATGAAAATAATATGTTTCTTCTTCCTACACTTCCCAAAAGGGGATACACACACACACACACACACACACACACACGCACCTAGAAGTCAACACAGCCATGGCTGCAGTCCCCTGCACAAATAGGAAAAAGGCAACTTTCCCTATATTACCAAAAAAAAGGTCTAAACTTAGTTTTCAATATTATCTCGAGTAACCAAGAAGTAAAATAACTCTCCCTCAATTTATTTTTATTTGTAAACAGAATTCTGTAACATTTATGTCTTCTAAGTTTTTAAAAACAAGTTTTAGCCACTGAAAATTGCCACAGTTCTAAAATAATCAAGATTTGAAATAATGTTTAAACAAGGGTTCAGTTTCTATTTTAGAAAAAATAACTAGAACCCGCAATAAACAAACCCTGAAAACTACACAGAAAGATTCTTTCCGACAAGGAAGATTTCTAACTAAAAAACTAAGAACAGTGCCTGTGCACACCAGGAGGGCTGCCACAGAGCTGCTGCGCAGTGTCCCCTGAGCAGCAGCCACATTGGCTCCACTCCCCCTTCCAGTCTCCACTTCTGGTTCCACCCTGCCACCTCCAGCCGCCTACTGTCCTAGGCTGCCCACAGCCACCTGTGAGGAAATCTGCTGACTGATTGGTGCAACACGGATGCACGGAGGTGTCCTGGCCGTTGAGGAGAAAGACTTGATCTCAAAGCTGAATACTGGCACCTCGGGCCCAAGGCTCTGGGGGCTGCACCGGAAAGCTGTGGATCCCAGGTCTGAGTGAGCAGAGCCATGCACACACGGTAGCAGTGGTCAAGTACGAATAAAGAGGATCCCTGCCATTCCTGCCTCAGGCTCGCAGAGACTGAGACCTTCCACTTCATGCCCACCTGCCAATGGGTGCGGACAGAATTGGAACCGCAAGTGGTGTCCACAGCTCCCACATGACGCCAACATAAGAATCCAACAGGGACTCTGTCAGTGCACTGCAGGAGTCCTGGAGGATCTGACAAATCTAATCTGAAAGGTGGAAGTGAACCGGAGCATGGTGCCTCAGGAGAAGCGCTTCCCTCTTGGTGGTAGAGGGCTGAAGTGAGAGGTGCACTAGAAGGCTCAACTTGCTGGAAATCTCTTGGACATTTTCATTGTCAAAATTGGGCCTCTTTGGGAACTTGGAAGAGGGAAGTCTGGTTTTAAGGTGGCCAGGGCGTGCAAGAAGCAGGGGGCTCCTTTTTATCCACGATTACAATGAAGACAGGTATTGCTCAGCCAGGGTACCCCTCCCCAGGCTCAGAAGTTTGACTGGAGTTGTGGTTGGAAAAAGAGAAGCAGGCACGCTAGCCTGGACACTTGGTGGCAGAGCCCCAACAGGTGGGAAGGAAAGGTTTGTCTTAGGCCACACCATCAGTGTGGGGCCCACTGGACCCGTCCAGTGTCCGAATGTGGAGGGGGAACCATCTAGCATAGACACGAGCGTCAGTGACGGGATAATTTTGGGTGCTATTTTGCCACAACAGCTCCAGTCTGAAACTCATCTACTCCTAATAGAGCTCTCCATCTCCTACTCCAGTTCTTCACAGCAGTGTGAGAAAGCCTCCTTACATTACATTTTGAGCACCAAAGACATTAAAAAATTTTTCAAGTAAGCCAGATGTAGTGTCATAGGCCTGTAGGGCTGAGGCAAGAGGACTGCAAGCCCAGCCTGGGCCAGTTAGTAACTGAGACTGTCTCAAAATAAAAAATTAAAAACATTTGGGGGCCCCATGATGAATGTATTGATTATATATTGCAAACATGTTCTAAAATGGGGGACTGAGGATGTAGCTCCATGCAAGGGTCCCAGGTTCAATCCCCAGGACTGCCAATAAATAAATAAACAAACAAACAAATAAATGCATGCTACCCCCCAATAAAAAGCTATAAAAACACATTATCCATGTCACTTAATTTAGGTAAGATTAAACATCAAAGAAAATAGACAAACTGTCTGATGTAACTTACATAAATGTTTTATCTAGATGATAAATATTTTGAGTTGAAAGGATTGGGGGAATACTGCATATGTGAGTTTAGTGGTCAGATTAGGATTTAAGCAAACAGAAAAAGGCATATGAACATCAGGTTCCTTCTGTCATAGCAGGAGCAAAACTGTAATCTTGTAGAAAAAGTAAATTCCTGGTGGTAACTTTACAGCAAAGTCAAGAAAAAACATCTTGTTATTGATTAATCAAATCCAAATTTAGAGAAAGGGGGACAAATTTAAATATACAGTTATTCAAAAAGTGGGACTGGCTAACCTAAAAGTGAATCTTAAACTTTTAGTAAATAACTGCTTACCAACGATTGTGTATAAGGAGTCTACTTTTAAAGTTGTAGCTCATTTATGAAAGTTTTATGACCTCAGTTACAAGTATCAAATTTCAGGCAAACAAAACCCCAATACAGGTTAAAAAGGGTGAGTGAAGTAGAGCTAGACAATTGATATTACTAGCTGAAGCAAAACAGAAAAGTCAAGTGTTGCACCAGCATTTACACAGAAGTAAGTAGTTTTCGTCTTTATGTAAGTAACTCTCTTACCAAATTCTTTTAGGCATTATTTCCGCACAGACTGCCAAGCAGCAAACAGTTGTGCCACCTAATGAGGTGAATACCCAGCACTGAGGAGTCACACACATTTTCCTGGAATTGAAGATTAATGTTGGAATAGATAAAAATGTTCAACAAGATAAGAAACTCCAAAACTCAGAATCCACATGATACATTGGTTTTACAGCTGGAAACCACCAACAATCTGACCCTAAACAAGAGATGTTTAGTACATTGGACGTGAAATAAACTCATCAGATTCTACAGTGTTCAAGGGTAGTGGTCACAACCTTTAGCATGAATGAAAGAACCAAGTCTGAATCATATAAAAGGAGTGCCATTTAGCATCAAGAAGGAACGCTGGATTGTAAGGTGGGAAAACTAGCTTCTTCATGCTTGTGGGCTATGTG